TACAGAGAGGCGTTCAGACACATGTGCAGGTGCATAAAGAAACGTTCAGGAACGCCAACCACCGTTTGCAGCAACGTGTGTAAACACCACCTGACAATAGAAAACTGTATTAAAATATATAAAAGCACAGAGAAAGAGACATAAAAATAACCTCATGACATCTCATAGAAATTTAACATAACGTCATTCAGAAAGATGCTGCACTGCTTTTGATATATCCCTGCACACTCAAAACTTTGCCACACTATAACCATCCCCACTGAAAACCACTACATCATTCAGTACGTTTACATGCACAGTTAAGCTGAACTACTGTTATAGCTCAACTAGTCCATTTTATTTGACTGCTGTCCTTGTCCCAATATACAAGCACAGGAGGGAAATCGTTTTATTGATCGAAGTATGTCTGACTCGGCAACAATAGGTGGCAATATGCCCCCTTTCAGCTTATTGGACCTTTTTCTGGCTGATCTACAGTATTAGGTCAAAGACTAAACAGTCGATAAACAAGTTAGCTACGGTTAGATAGTGGTAAACTGGTACCATGGTGGACAACTTTGCAGCTCTGTGCATTTTGTACGTCCAAAAATGCACGGCTTCAGATATTCATTTCGCCTTGTTGTTACCGACTTCTTCTTCTGTTAGACTGATTATTTGACTTCTGGGTCAAAGCCTGGGGTGGAAACTGTGGCGCATGCGCAGAGCATCTAGGCCAGTTTGGGTCTGTTTGTATACATGCAGGCGTAATTCAGCTCCCAATAACATTATCTGGGTGTGTTGGTCCGACTTTGAGAAATTCAATTTAGTATGATTTTAGCCAGACTAATATGTTAACATGTATCTTAAAAGTCTGGTTTTAGTCAGATTATCACAACAAAATGGCATTTCTCTGATGTCACTAAAATGCACTGATTGAAGAGGGGGGTTGTGAGCCTGAGGTATACTTGAAATAAACTTGTTTTTACGTGTGTCTGTATCTAGAGGTAAAAGTGTTTACAGCTGTAGGCAGAGTGAAAGCCTGCCACTATAGGGATGTGCGTACATTTCAAACTCTCCCCTTAAAAGCATTTGTGATATTGCAATAAGATGTATTGGGTATAAGTAAAAAAAAAAAAAAACAAAAACCTGTAGGTTTATAAATGGGGCCAAACTTTTTTTGGTAGCAGATGTGTCAGTTGACACTGAGGCCACTTCCACACTAAAATGAAAACTACCTCCGTAAATATAATTAGCACTTTGAGATTATTTTATAATGTAAAGTGTGTTACAAATAAAATGTATTATCGTTGTTATTATTGTTATTATTATTATTATAAGCATTTTAGCACTGTTTTAGAAATGATTATCGTCCACACTAAAACACGCCTGAAAACACATAGCATGTGATCGTTTACATACGTCATGCGTGCACTGGTGTAGACAGGAAGCAGATTGTCAACAATTTGTTGCTTAGTTGTAGAAAATACTGTGGAGATTGCAAGAACTCAGACCAGAGATTTCTTGCTTGGTCCAACAACAAGATGAAAAACCTGGAAATGAGTTAGCATGTTAGCACTCCTGGTTTTTTTGAATGTGTAGATTATCTTGCTGAAGAAAATGTGTAAGTATCATAAACTTGTGTTTGCCACAGAGTTTATTACCTGCAATAATTCAAAATCTAATGGAAAAATCCCAAAGGCTTTTGACGAGGGGACTAGGGCGATGCTAACTTCTATGCTAGCCTACAGAAAAACATGATCCCTGGAGCACTTTATAAAGCAGTCAAGGTGGACGAAAACAGATTGAGACTCGCTGCAAAGCAAATACGGCTACAAATTAGAGCCATACCAAGAGCATTATCCATCACTGGAGGAAGCCATGGCAATAGGAAAGGAGTACCACACAATAAGGATAGAATCACAAAAGGTATGTAGACCTAGCTATAATGCTTTGGCTTGATATATCATGACCGATAAGAGCCAACTGACCCTTGGCTATGGCCCGCCCCCCTTAGTTACTGTTGCTAAGTCCGATAAACTTTCGGTTTCGGAGCTAGACTGGCATGGTGCTCCCACTGTCGCTAACTGCACTCCCTGGAGAAATACTCTCAAATTTTTGGAAAAACAAAAATGCGATTTCAGACAGAAGCAGGCAGAAGGGTCTACAATATGCATTTGAAGGATATATTCAGGATGTCAGACTGACACAGCAACAAAATCAAGGTAAAAAAATAAAGATTGAAGCTAAAGCCTACAGATCACAGAGTAAAAGTGAACCACCACCACATCACTCCTGACTGCCACAGAAGACAATGAATATAAAGGGAAACTTTGCTGATGTTGAACCAGTTGTGTGGCATCGCAGTGTATGCAGATGAACAGTGTTTATCTTCACCCCCGTGCCGCTCCCAGCACCCAGACTGGCAGCTGGACTGTTGGGGGGCTGCAGAAGAAGTCAAACAACATTCATCTGCGCCCAATGCGTTGACACACAGCTGGTTGAACATCAGCAAAGTTTTCCTGCTTCCCTTCACTGGTTCCTGCACAGGAGGGTCGGCCTTTTTTTCACTGTAATAATCATTAAAACGCAAAAGCAGCATGTGTGTACATTCAGCAGGCTATATCTTCAGTAGCTAGCTAGCTAACGCTACACTTTTCAGGGTCTGGTTGTGGTTTTGGAACAGGGAAGAAACGTGTATCTTTTTCCAACCGCTCCAGGTAACGAGTATCATTAATACACAACGTGCCCCAGGCACAACATTTAGCTCCAAATCCACAAAACCAGCTTGAAAATGAAGGAAATCTTAAACGACTGCACTAGAGTGGATGGAGCACAGCTATGTTGTTGTCGAACCCTGGTCTGAGCTGGCCCGATGCTACGTTATGATTGGCCAGTCTATGTCCGGGGGCGGGACTTAGCGAAGGGTCAATTGGGATGCAAACATGGGTGTCTATGACATTGTTTTTAAAAGTCTCCATTTCCACCCTTCCAGACTAAAACCCCAGAGTTTTGAAACTAAAACAGCTTTTTTGTTTTTTTCTTGTTAGCTAAATGAACAATGATAGGCAGCTGGGCTGCTATTTCAATAAACTCAGCAGAGTTTTGTTCAGTGTAATCACAGAGATGGTAGAGCTCTCCGTAATGCTGGGCAGTTTGTCTTTCCAACATGTTCTTTGTACTGGAAAACAATTAATTCACTAGTTGTTTCCACTCACAGAGTCCCGTATGTGATTGTTGATGACATCATCTTTGTGTGTCAGAACCCTAACATTTTTTGAGAGTGTATTTTATACCATCCAGGCATGCAGTCATTTCAACTAATTTCACTACACAATGACATGTAGGGACTCTAAACAATATAAGAAGGCAAGATGTCTGTTGATATGGATGACCTCAACTCAAGAATGTTAAATCCTATTTTTTATCTAAAGTAATGAAAGCCAATGGCGACCTGAAAGACAGGAAAACCACCTTTAAAACACCCGCACTGTATGACATTTCTCATTCTAAAGAATTGAGATATAGAGATTTGCATGTTAGTAAATTTCACATTTATCACAATGGAAATAAATCTAGATACTGGCATGGGTGATTTTCATACATTCACACATGTGAAAACATTTTCTAAAGCACATATGAAATTTATTAATAACAATGTTCCCAATATTCGAAAACATCCCTTGACCGTATTGCCTATCCTTTAGACCAGGGGTCAGCAACCTTTATGAACAAAGAGCCATGTTTGACCCAAAATAATATTAAAAAAGTCTGCCTGGAGCCAAAAAACATATTTGAGCCTTATAATGAAGATAATGCAGCATATATAGCCTAAATTATCCCATCATCATTACTAATAGGTCTAAATCAGCCTCCATTCATATGTTTTTGGCTCCTCTGCAGTAGCTATTCATTATTATTTGGTACTTCCACTTTGCAGCGTTGGCAGTGAAGGCAAATGAATTTGTCCACACACTACTAAATTTTGTAATTTGTCTCCAAGACTTGCTTTTTTTTAGAATTTGGAATCCATAGCTAGTTAGGGGGGCTCAAGACTGGCCACTGCTATTAAGGTTTGGCACAATTTAGAGGAAAGGGCGCCAGGCCATAGACATACATTTGGAAAGGTGATAATCATTAAGTCCTCTGCGCCCCACCTCCATGCCCCTTTCACTTCATACCAAATGGTGAGTCCCAAAAGCCCGAGCTGAAAACAGGAAATCTCCACAGCTCTCATCCCCCGCAGGGCGAGTAAATGAATTAGCATGACTGACAAAGACGCGAGATTACCTCAAGCTATGCATTCACTTAACATGACAACAACACAGTGGCCTTTTGAGTGTAACACAGGCACCTTTTCTATGAAGACGTGGTGCTGCAGGGAGCACGTCAACAAGCTGAAAGGGGACAAAGAGGGTTTAGGCGATCACATACTCTTTTAGGGGGAGAGACACCCCCCCTCCTCCTCCCCCCCCACCACCCCCCTCTCCTGAAACCCACCACCAACATCTGCAACACTGAGATTAAATGTGAAAGAACTAAGCCAATACTATTAAACATTACAGCAAAACCTTCTTAAATAAGTTAAATGTTTTAGAGACATAAATTACGCGAGCAGCCTTTATTAACATTATGTGTGACTGGGACGATGAGGGTATCTGACGCAGTTAGGAGGGATGGAGTCTTCGTGAAAAACAATCATGAGCATGTTTCTGTAAATGGGATGTGAGATCTCCACACAGGACAATGGATTCAACAAAGTGTGAACTTTTAACTTAAACTACGACAAGAAAAAAATTAATCAGGAGAAAAGGCTCCATCTACCATCTCGGCGCGTAAAGGAAACACGGGAATGCCAAAAGCCCTCTTCCAAATTTCACGGCTGAGTATATAGAAAGGTGATGCAGAATGTGGAGTAATTTGTCCACAAATCAATTTCAGTGGACTACATGTTGAGCAGTGCCTCACTTCTCACTTTAATCCGACTGTGTCTTGGAGCAGTGTTCAGTATGAAAGAGACTTACCGTCACATCTCAGACCTGGAAACATGAAAAGCATCCAGAGCAAACTCTTGAGGAGGGAGTTCATAGCGTCACTTTTCAGATAGCAAAAATAATGCCGAGGATAATTTTATCCAGTTTAGGAGCTGGGTGTCTTCTGTTGGAACTTTTCGTCTTCTTGTTGTTGTTTTCTTGTTGGTAATTCTTCTTTTTCTTCTTCTTCAGCAGCCGGGCCCGGGGAGAATAAAGCGCACTGTCCAGGTGGCGGAGGAGTGAAACATGAAGGAGCAGGGTAGACGCGTGTTTAAAGAGGGAAACAGAACCGAGTTCACCCCGTGCAGTCCGACAGAGACGTCGAGAGCCGCGCAGGTCCTTCGGGGCTGTTGATCCCAAACTAGCTTCTCTGTCCTCGCGCTGAAAGCAAGCGAGCCTGGGGAACTGGAGCTGACGCACGCGCGCATTTACACGCATACGGTAACGTTTTGTAGAGGGCCCCATCTAGAGACGGAACCAAGGTAGCTTTACAGCCAGCCCACTGCAAAACTCTGTGTCACACTAATATTTCCATCACTTATATTCTCCTATGTTGAAATGAGGCCAGTTTTAAGCATAACTTAAGTCTAAACTGTATTATATTTAGCCTACTATTAGGGTTTGTTTTCATACTCACTACAACAGGCATTGAACTGGAGACAGTATAAAGTGTTAGATTAATTAATTTGCCATGTAGGGGAGACTGGGGTTAGCTGTCACATTTTTTACTCTTGCATGAATTGCTCATCATCAAAACATCTTTCAGCAGTCACTCCTACATTAAAAGAAAGAAAGCTTATATGCCGTGCCTCAAATAGGCATCCCTTTTTCTTTTTTTCTTTTTTTTTTCAGCATATTGTAACATGCCCAACTAGGGACAAGAGTTGAAACGTAGCAATAGCTATAAACTCTCTGTACAACACATCAGTCCCATCCTATAGTCCCGTACTGGAACTATAAATTGCATTGTCCCTATCAAATACAATGAAATAGAAAATAAAAACTTAAAAAGAAAGTCATCAAAGGCACTGACTGTTGTCACAATGTGTGGGGTTGGTTGTTCCTCTAGTTATCAATGGGGTTTCGGGGAAAAAAAGATTAAACAAAACGTGACTTTTTAGGTTTTTAAGATAGAAAAACCAAATAGGCACTGAAAAGAATAACACCTCTATAATAGTACTAATTAATGCCTCTTGTGTTTAAACCACAAATTTGAACCAGGTGATTGTTTGTATTATCCTCTCTATAAGAAGTAAAATGAAGGAATTTATAGTGCTGAAAAAAATCTACCCTTTATTAAAGCCATGGTTTCATAGCAGTTCATTATGAATGTAACATAAAATGAAACAGTGAGATTGGAATAGTTTAGTCTCCATCACAACATGACCAGGAACTTTTGTTAGTCTGTTGACTTTCTTGTTTTGTATTTGGTTTTTTGTTTTCGTTTTTGTTTTGTTTTGAATATGGAATTGTAAAACTAAAAGGAAGTCTGTTGACTTTGTTTGTATTTGGGTTTTTTATTTTGTTTTGAATATGTTATGATGGAGTGGTGAATAAGGCGTGGGAACTGAAAAGCTTGGCTTCCTCCTGCTCCTTTTCGAGCATACGTTGTTTATTGATTTGAACATTGGTTTTGTTTTTTGAGAAACTATAACACGTATGATTTATTTTATGTGTCTTTTCTTTTACTTTCTTTTTTTAAATATGTTCTAAATAAAGAATCAATCAATCAATCAATCAATCAACTTTTGTTAAAATGTCAAACAGCCTGGGTTGAAGTATGTAACTGTTTAAGTACAACGAGGAACTATAGCAGCATTGTGTGTGTGTGTGTGTGTGTGTGTGTGTGTGTGTGTATTCAAAAACACCCTAGTCAATATGGAGTATAACATGTTTGCCATGCTGACTGTCTTTCTGAACTTTCACAACCAACCCCAACCGACCTCTTGACAAACATATTAAGCTAGCCACCACATAGCTTTAGCTTGCTTGCTAAAAGCTGAAAGTTATTTCCTCTGACATTTTAATATGTATTTGATTTTTAAATGACAGGTAACCTACAACAAACAACACAATAAAAAACATAAAATATATACAGTAACATTTAGAAATATTAGAATACCTACGCACAATGACAAGAACCAACTGATCGTTCATCCTAGTACTTAAGAGAGCTTTAACATCAGGCAGAGAGACCAATTCACGTTTGTGTAGGCCAACTGTTTGATATCAACATAGTGTCACAGCGCCTTCTAGTGTGGCTATAAAAAAACAACTGTGACAACTAACCCATGTGACAACCAACCCTGGTCTCCCCTACACATCACCTCTAACCCCTTCCTCTGTCAATCAGTGGTGAAAAGTATCTAAATACATTAAATTACGTATATATAAGAGTAGATATTCACTTATGGGTATGTGGGTGTACACAAATGTATATACTGGAAGAATTATGTATATTTATATTTTGTGTATTTTATATATTCATTTATTAAAATATAAAAACAGCAGGACAAGTTGATTAAGATATATATGTAATTTAATATTTATATTTATTTTATGTAGTTAAAACATGATGGCTTATATCATAAGAACATGAAAAATTTCACGTTATAATAATATAGTTTCATGTTATCCGCGTTTTGCAAATTGAAACTTTTCATGTTTTTACAATTTAAGTTATTTTAGTTTTAACGTGAAAATATGTTGTTATGATGCAATAATATGAAAAACTTTTCATGTTATAACATAATACTGACCCATTATTTTTTTTTCCTGGTGTGGCAGCAATACTCTTCCATATAATTTCAATCATTTACAGTTTCAAAATAAGAAAAAGGAAAAGGGCCTGAAGCAAAAGTTTGGGCACCCTGCATAGTCAGTACTTAGCGCTCCCCTTTGGCAAGTTTAAGGAATTTTCACCCATTCTTCTAGTTCTGTGAGATTCATGGGCTGTCCTGCATGCACTGCTCTTTTAAGATCTATCCACAGATTTTCAATGATGTTTAGGTCAGGGGACTGTGAGAGTCACGGCAAAACCTTTTAGTTTGTGCCTCTTGAGGTAGTCCATTATGAATGTCCAGGTGTGTTAAGGATCATTATCCTGTTGTAGAAGCCATCCTCTCTTCATCTTTAGCTTTTTTACAGGTGGTGTGACGTTTGCTTCCAGAATTTGCTGGAATTTAATGAATCCATTCTTCCCTCTACCTGTGAAATGTTCCCCGTGCTACTGACTGCAATACATGCCCAAATCATTATTGATCCACCCTGTGTTTAACAGTTGGACAGGTGTTCTTTTTATGGAATTCTGCAACTTTTTTCTCCAAACATACCTTTGCTCATTGCATTCAAAAAGTTATATTTTAACTTCATCAGTACACGGGACTTGTCTTCAAAAAGCATCAGGCTTGTTTAGGTGTTCCTTTGCTAACTTCTGATGCTGAATTTTGTGGTGAGGACACAGGAAAGGTTTTCTTTTATGACTCTTCCATAAAGCTCATATTTGTGCAGGTGTTGCTACACAGCAGAACAGTGCAGCACCACTCCAGAGTCTGCTAAATCTTCCTGCAGGTCGGTTGCAGTCAAATGGGGTTTTTTAATTTGCCTTTCTAGCAAACCAATGAACAGCTCTCTAAGGAAGTTTTCTTAGTCTTCCAGACCTCAACTTGACCTCCACAGTTCCTGTTTACTGCCATTTCTTAATCACGTTACAAACTGAGGAAACAGATATCCGTAAACACTGCTTTGTGGGCATCAGTTATTTTAGTATATAAAGTGCTAGGTAGCTGTTTAGAGGAGCCCATGGTTGCTGATTGTTGGAACAAATAAAGCTTTGAAATTAGCATCACCTGGCCTTTCATAATGGTGACACTGAACGAGCCATAGCCCTAACAAGCTAATTAAGGCCTGAGACCCTGGTAAAAGTTGTCTAAGAGCTCAAATGTCTTGGGGTGCTCAAACATTGCATGGTATATTACAAGGTAACAAATGGTGATAAAAATTGTATATTTAGAAAAAGGTATAGGCTTATCTGTATCAGGAAGCTGTCTGTTTAATTTCACTACACAAGGGTATAACAATGGAAATGGTTAAAGGGTGCTGCATTTTACTAAATGTTTGACTTATAGTCAAACTATTTTCATAGTACACTTTAGTTTTTATGGGAAAGAGTTTTGAGTGAGTACTTCATGTGTTCAGGAAAAATGGGACAAAAATGCTCAAGTGGGACATTTTTCAGCCTACACACAAAATAAATGTCACAAGACCCCTGTCTGACAGGAACTTTATGTCAGCTTAACATAACTTTTTTGATGTTGTTGTTTTATGTCATATGATCATAAAAACATTGAGTACATATTTTGGAAGCCTATTTTAATAATTTCATTGAACTATGGAAACACACTGTGGCAAGCCTAAGTTTCTCAAGTGCTAGAATAGGGCAAAGAGATGAGTTCTGGACCAGGAAGTGCTTTTTATCTTACCTCAGCACAACTTTATGTTACTCTAATACACACACAGGCAGGAAGTCGATAACTGTATACGACTTAACTCATGGTGCAAAATGTCTTTTACTACAACATTAACTGTAACCTATTAGAACCATTGTGAAATACATAAACACTAATCACTGCATAATGTGTAAAGTGAGTGATTTAAAACAGTGGTTCTCAACTGGTGAGTCACGGTCCAAAAGTGGGTCGTGGGTCCATTCTGAGTGGACCACAAGTGGCACGCAAATGTTAAAATTGTAAATCAATCAATCAATCAATCAATCAATCAATCAATCAATTTTATTTATAAAGCCCAATATCACAAATCACAATTTGCCTCATGGGGCTTTACAGCATACGACATCCCTCTGTCCTTTAGAACCCTCGCAGCGGATAAGGAAAAACTCCCCAAAAAAACCTTTAATGGGCAAAAAAAAGGGTAGAAACCTCAGGAAGAGCAACTGAGGAGGGATCCCTCTTCCAGGACGGACAGACGTGCAATAGATGTCGTACAGAACAGATCAACATAATAAATTAACAGTAATCCGTATGACACAATGAGACAGAAAGAGAGAGAGAGAGAGAGACAGAGAGAGACAGAGAGAGATGCAGGACAGACGGTAATGACAGTAGCCTACAAAAACATTAATGAAAGTAATGATATAATAATATAATTATAATTCTGGTTATTGTGGTAATATGTTGAAAGTATATATAAATGTCTGACAGTATACATATGTGACAATAATCATATGTGTATAATAACAGTAGAAGTATGACTAACGATAACAGCAGCAGCAGGAGGCATCTGGCAGGACCACGGCAGCAGCACAACCACACACGTCACACTAAGCAGCACAAAGCACAAAGGCTCCGGAGAAGAAGCTGACTTAGTGACATGCAGTAACAGGACATATGAGAGAGAGAGAGAGAGAGAGACAGAGACAGACACACCTTGTTTTGAAGTACAATGAATATCCGGCACAGAGCTTTTATTTTGAAGTGTTGTTTCCTGCTGTAGAATGATTGAATAACAGACAGCAACCTAACGAGACAGCAAACTAGCTCATTGACATGACCAAATGCAAGTATGACACTGAAGATATTAGAGTTTAAACTGTGAGACCTTGAAGTAATGACTATGGACAAATCTGGACCCCGTAACTGGACCAGTTAGGAGCCACTGATTTAGAACACTTTTAAACACAGTTTTCTTCTGCTTATGGCCTTAAACACATTGTCTCACGTCATGCTGGGCAAAATTGGCTTTATAAATTTTAGTAAGATCAACTCAAAAAATTGTTGACTTAACATTAAAAAAAATATAAAGCTCACAAGGGATGAGTTTCCATGTCAAGTTAACATAAAGTTTTAATATCATTTTTGACAGCCTGGGCTTTTGTGTAAACTTTACATTAAATTTTGTGTCATGGGTGAATTGATGTTTACAGTGTAAACCAGCGTGTTTTTAGGCTCCTAGATGCCATAAAATCACAAGTTATATTACTGTGTGGCATCCTGTCATATTACAGACATTTTCATTAATTTTGTCATTTAAAAACAATACAGATTAAAAAGAAAAACAATAAAGATAATGCAGTAAGTCCATGTCAGCCACAGTGTTTCAGAATTGGCCATCAGTGTTACACAAATGCAAGCACACACACACGTCTATTGTAGACAATATGGCACCAAGGAAACAGGCAGCAAAAGTACAGGGAAAGCATGGTAGAAGAGTTGGACAATCCTTTTTTAAATAAATAGCCACAGGTTACATGAATGATTTAATAAATTAATAACTGAACTGATTACTGGATTTAACCATTAAAAGACAAACAAACATGAAAGTCCCACTTTACCTTAGCAGGTGTCCCATTTCACCGGAACATCATCAGATTGAAATCATGGTTCTTGATGTGTTTGAAGGTCTAAAGTTTCTAAATTATTTTACTTGAGAAGATACTTCCTTATTAAAATACAGCAGAGACCCATGACAAGTTCTTAAAGTAACACTCAAGATAGTCTTCATAGTTTTAGGTGGTTTTCTTGGTAATACACCAAAAAGTGTTCAGCCTAGTTAAATACAGTTATGAGGTATTTATACTTCAGACTTAATGGGTTTTGTCATGTTATCCTTTAACTACACATTTCATAAGGATGTTTTTTTTTTTTACCTTTATTTCACTACATTTGTCAGACAGCCAGGGTCTTAGAAATGATCATTAACCCCCTTTCTTTACTTTTTCTTAATTATTCACATTTTCTCTATTTTGTTTATTAAGTTCTTTTTTTATGTTGTTCCTAAAATATGTATTATGGTGTGTTTAAACCTTCCCATTGCCCCTAACATTCTGTTGGAGTAATAGTGCATCCTTTCCTTTTTTCTGTTCTATTTAATTATTTATCGGGATGCACAATATTGGCATTTATGTATGCAGCTCCCTATGTGTGGAATCCTTTGTAGAAGGACTTTAAGTTGCACTCATTGGTTCCTCTCGGACATTTCAAAGCTCTGTTACAGGATTTCTGTATGCAATCATCTATATGCCATTATCAGTGTATTTTAGCTGGTCTTTGTAATCTTGTGTAGTTGCCCATGTTTTATGTTTTTCATGGTTCACTTATAGCACATATTAACTTACTTTTTGGCTGTTCTCTGTAGGAATCTCATTCTGTGTTTTATATTGCTTGTTTTAGAGCTACATATTTAGTATTTTTGTTCTATGTTGTCTGTCTGTAACCTACAGTATGCTGCTGCCCGTCTTGGCCAGGACACTCTTGAATAAGAGATTCTTACTCTCAAGAGTTTTTTGCTGGTTAAATAAAAAATAAAATAAATACTGACAGGGGCCTTCCTGCTGCATAATGAAAATGTATAGTTAAGACACTTACAGTGCACCTCCCTGAGAATCTATCAGTACTTTTACTGAAAGCAGAACTTTGCAGATTTTACATATGGAGATCAGATTACTGGTAATGAAAAGTAACACTCAGCCTTCAATAATGTGTAATGTCTTCTGTAGCTCTGGGGGAGCTTTGTCGAGTCAGAGGAACACGTAGGACAGAAAGCTGTGTTATGAACTGGAGGTGCGAGGGGTGCTGTGTCCCAAATCTATCCATCTATTGTCATGGTATACTATTTTAGCAATTAGTTTACAAAAAAATGCCTAGAAAATCTTATACCAACAGGAAATACTGTATTTGTTTAAATCCAGGTCATGTTGTGGAAATACCACAATTAAAAAAAGACATCCTGTTGCGGTCTTATCAAAACATGAAATGGCTGTCAAATTGTCTTAACCCAAAGCAGATGGATGGTATTCCACAAAAACACATATACACCATAACTTAATTTAAATCAGATATATTTATATTTCATTAAAGTGGTCAAAATGGAATGGGCTCAAACAACAGAGAATTAGCATCCACTAAAAAACAAAGAACAAAAAAAAATCAAGGTGTAAAACTCAAATGTATTTGTAGTAAAAGAGCTGGTGGCATATGAAATGACAACCATCATGTACAGTTCATGCACTAGTTGACTGCAAACATTTTAAATAAAACAGTGAGCACAATGGCTTCTCTTTGGTCAGCACATAAAAGCAACAAATCATTTGGTCTGTGGAGATTATGTTTAGTTCTCACTGCAGTCCTTTCTCTTTATTACTGAATGAGGGTCATTATCATTCACAGCAGGAAGTCAACTGCAAACAGTCCTGCTGAAAGCCCACTCTTACATTCATAGCAATAAACATGTAGTACATATATCACTATGATGACACATGAGAACAAAGACAGAGACAATGAATTAAGAGACAAAGTCAAGGCTAGAAGATATAAGGTGTGTTTTATCAGTAAAGTCCTCATTACACATCAAGTGTGTGGGGCTCATAGTCTGTGGATGAGAGTGTCTGGTCAGGAGTGTCCCCCTCACAGTGATTTCCTACCCTGTCCACTGAGTGGACTCCTGCTAAAGCTCCAGTGATGTCTGCTCAGTCTCAGCACTGTCAGACAGTGCATGGTCATTTGAGGGCAGCTGCAGCTGCCTCTTGGATACAAGACACGGCCTTCTGGATGTCCTCCCCCGTCTGTTCGACAGTGACCACCACTCTGATACTGAAGACACACAGGTGGAGCAGTTAGATGTAACACAGCAGTGTCAAGGCGACACAAACAGATCCATATAAACATTCTGACACTCATTTACACAGAAATAAAGCTCACTGAACTCTATATGTTCTGTAGTGATGAAACCTTTACAAGAGTTGACCTAGGTAAATCTGTGCTCTCATGATTCCCATTTATTCTTTTACCGTAGAATTAATGTATGCACTGATTTATAGACGTCTCATAATGTAAGTCTATGGAAGAAACCAGAAACTCTAAAAATTAAGTGTTTACATTGTCTTTCTCCTCTGCTCTGTGGATGCAAGCCGCAGGTCTGTATGTTTGATTTGACTGTGTTTGACCTCTCTTTATCCTCTTAAAACAACCCAGCTGGTGACTGACATTGTAAGACACTGATGTTTTGTTGTAGAATTTAGATTGTGATGTCTCATAGCTAAAGAAATTGAAGCTGCTACTGCTGCTGAGTGTGAGCTTCGCCTCTGGGAGAGTCCATTCAGAAGCACAGACTAAATGACAGGGCTAACCATTAGCATCACACGCCTTTTCATCGATGGTTTAATGACAGAGTCTAGCCGTTTTGGTGCAGGTATGAGTTGTTGGGACTGTTTAACTGCATGGTGTTGGATGTTAGTTGCTGCTGCAGCTGTGTAGCTTGTGCTTACTGGGCAGATATTAAAAGGACCATTCGGCAGAAGAATATCAGCTCTAGCTATGGCTGTAACAGAAAGTCTGCTGATCTGGCGGGGAGACAAGATGGTCCAAGATCAGACCCCCGGCACTAAAAGGATCAAATGCAGGTATTGCTTGACTGGAGATGTTTCGATATTACTTGTGTCCGAGTTATTTCGGTCAATACCTTAAAGGCAGGGTCCGAAATTAAGACCCAGCAAGCGCCAAATTCGGGTGGACTTTTCGTTTGGCAAGTGAAACTATCCACCACACTGGCAGGAAAATGTTTGTACCAAAATAGTCATGTAATAATTAACTATACTCAGAGTCTCTCCTGTGTAAATGGTGACATTAAGGAGCGCACTACTCTGCTGCTCTTAAGCTGCACCTCTGCTGTTTGTCAATATGTTAACATGTACAGTTAAGTAAAGCCACAATTATAGCTGAACTAGGCCATTTAATTGGACTACCGTCCTTGTCCCAGTATGCAAGCATGGGAGGGAAATCAATTTATTGATCTAAATATATCAACTCCACTACAATAGGTGGCGATATTTTATTTGGTTGACCTATTACATCACACACCAAACAATCAAGCATCATCCAGCTGTTTTGACACTTTTTTTGTACAGGTCGACATTCTGTTGTCCTCCCATTTATGTATTTTAAAATATTTAACTCTTTCAGCTGACACAGCATAGACTGTCTCCTTGTCCATCCAAAAAGGCACGGCTCTGGATGTAGATTTCACCATGTTGTTATTGGCTTCTTCTTCTGTTACGCATTTAATGCTATTCAGCTTCCAGGTCAAAGCCTGGGCCAGAAACTGTGGAGCATGCACAGAGCACTTAGGCCAGTGTGGGTCTGACTGACTATATACATGCAGGAGTGATTCGACTCCCAGTCACATTATCTGGGTGTGTTAGTCTGACTTTGAGAAATTAGACTTAGTACGATTTCAATTGGAGTACCATTTTTACACGTATTTTAAAAGTGCGGTTTTAGTTTTAAGGATAGAATAGAATAGAAAGAACTTTAATGATCCCTGAAGTGAAATTCAGCAATAAATCACAATTAAACACAATAAATCAATAATGTCATGTAAACACACTGTTTCAGATATGGAACATCTGCTGATTGGCTAAACTTGCTGCCGGTCTGCTGCAAGCTAGCTTTGTGCCCATACTGATAAATGTAATGAAATACACTGAACAAAAATATAAACACAACACTTTTGTTTTTGCTCCCATTTTTCATGAGCTGAACTCAAAGATCTAAAACGTTTTCTAAACACACAAAAGACCATTTCTCACAAATACTGTTCACAAATCTGTCTAAATCTGTGTTAGTGAGCACTTCTCCTTTGCCGAGATAATCCATCCCACCTCACAGGTGTGGCATATCAAGATGCTGATTAGACAGCATGAATATTGCACAGGTGTGCCTTAGGCTGGCCACAATAAAAGGCCACTCTGAAATGTTCAGTTTTGCTTTACTGGGGTGGTCTGGGGGGGTCAGAAAACCAGTCAGTATCTGGTGTGACCACCATTTGCCTCACGCAGTGCAACACACCTCCTTCGCATAGAGTTGATCAGGTTGTTGATTGTGGCCTGTGGAATGTTGGTCCACTCCTCTTCAATGGCTGTGCGAAGTTGCTGGATATTGGCAGGAACTGGAA